GTGTGTGTGTGTGTGTGTGTGTGTGTGTGTGTGTGTGTGTGTGTACATATCCCATAGGCTCTGTTTTTTTGGAGAACCTGACTAATACAAAGACCAAGGGTTTCAAAACAAGATGTGACTGTTAGCCAGTTTTCCCCTATATGTCAACATTTCAGTCGTTTACAGCCACAAGAATATATATATATATACATGTAATTTTTCTTACTCATGGGTCCATGCATCTGCTGTGGTTCAGCTACCTTAAGCTGGCTTCCCCGATCTTCGCTGAGCTAGGCTAGACTCCAAGCTTTGGATTAGAATTAGGTTTTCCCCACAAGCCTTCAACGTCCTCCTGGGACCAGCAGTTATGCAACTATTCTTGTGATAGAGCATAAGACACAAAAGGATGAGTAGATCATAGCACAGAGGCCCCAACTATAAACCCCCACACTGACACTTCCACTTAGCCCACTGGCCCAGTAAGGACATGGCCAACACCCATGGGATGGAGAAGTTACTGCAGCCACCAGTGGGCTACAATGCAAAGGGCACAGAGGCACGGCGCTAATACGGGAAGAGAGCAAAGATTTGGGGAAGAAGTCAATCGATTTGAGTGACTTTGATCGATACATTTCTAAACAATAACTGTCAGCTGGGGGAAGGAGGAATACAAAGAGGTAAGCAGACATAAACCCTTTCTAAAACAAGGTAGGAAAAGAAAGACGAAGGGATGGGAGAGGAAAGAAAAGTTTTAATTAGAAGTTGGAAATATTAGCAGCCAAAAAAGTCAATATTATTTCAAAATGAACATGGCCTTGATTTAAGGCACTAGGAAAGGAAGAGAACTAAGAGTTATTGAAGGTCTATTATATCCAAAGCACTGTGCTAGGCCATTCGTAACCACTATATCACATAATTCTCACAACCACATTTGGGGTAGATACGATTGTCAGAACTGAGTTGAAAGACATTTTGGAAATCAACTTCATAAGACTGGTTGGCGGAATTAGATATGATGGTAAAACAGAAAGAGGAAAGTAAGCATCTACTTGGGCAGTGGCCGTGATGGCGCCCCGTTACATGAGATGGGAAACACGGAGGGGGGGGGAGCCAGTCGGTGAGTTGAAGGAGATAGATTTGGTTTTGACTTGTGTTTGTGATAGCTATAGGACACCTATAGGAAAGCCTACAAATGATTGGAAATGTGTACCTTAGAGCTCAAGAAAGGAAGCCAGTCCTGGAAAAACACTCCAGAAATAAAGGCAAAAGCATTCCAAGCATGGAAGATGGTATTAGTAACAATATGAATGTGTCTTGCACAGTCCCTGTTGGTGGAACGGCTAGCAATTTAACATACTGTTTAGACACACACGTGTCTAATCCTGTGTATTAGGCTGCATGTAGCAGAGTAGTGCGAGATGAAGTTGAAAAGGTAAGTTTGTACCTGATCACAATTGTCCTGGAATGCTGGAGCAGGACATTTGGGTTTTTATCAAGAAGGAGGCACTATAGGTTTGTTTTGGTGCAAAGGTTGGCTTTTTGGAAGACTGAGGGAACAGCAAGATGTGAGCTGGACCAAAGGTGGGAGGCCATGTGGAAGGCTGTGGCATTGGCTTTTGTAAATGCTAACGAGAACCTAAAGTGGGCAGTGGCAGTAGGAACAGAAATGAAGGAACAGATGGGAGAATTACTTTGAAAGAAATGATTCTGCAGCACAGTAACCATTCTGCATATCATTAAATACGTGTCAAGTTAATTTTGTAACTTCATATGGCTCTAATGGTTTCCTCTCTTCAGGTATTCAGAGCTTTTATAATTTATTAGTCATCTGTTCACATAATATTTAATTAAGAGTTATAATTTCCATGATGGAGCAACTGTAACTGTTTTGCTCTCTGCTGTTTCTACAACAGTCATCAGCATAGGCACAAAATACTTACTGAATGAGTGGATGGATGCGTCGCTGCTCTTGCACACATCAGCGTACCCATTTCTCGCCACCCTTGTTCTCTACCCTGCCCCTGTCTCTCACAATCCCAGCAAATACTTCCCTCCCTCTCACCTCCTTAAGGTTGGTCTGGGAGAACTGACCTCCCAGGAGTAACCAGTTTACTGAGCATCTGCTTTCAGTGAGATACTGATGTGCTTTTTTTTTTCCCCTAATCTTGCCTTCTACCAAATTCAATTGATTCTCTCTTTACTAATTTCTAATGTTATCTCAATCATATCCTATAATTTTCCAGTCATGTGAAATATTGAAAATTCAGTGCCAGTCCATTTAAGCCTCCAGTTTTATTTTCTTCACCCTCCCCCACCCCAACCCTGAAGTTTAGGTGTCCCCAGAGAACTGGCACCTCTTTGTTTTCTGATTCGAAATTCTTCGAAATTCCTCGGTGCTGGGGCAAGGAGGGATTAGGGGGGAGGCAAACATTTTTATACTTAATTAGGTTTTCATCACAGAGCTCTGCTGGGCCTCCCCACCACTGCTCCTTAGCCAACACAGACCATCAAAAACGTTTGTGTGGCAGGTGGCCCCTGATTGCCCCCTCAAAAGAGGGATGTGTCAGTTGAGGTGACCTATGGGAACCCCACTGCACAGTCCTCTAGTATGGGACATCTGACTCTGCCCCAGCTGGATTCATCAGGACTTCCAAAACTTATCCCCAGTATCTACTGCTAGATGTCAATTTCTTGAATGGCGAACAGCAAGACCGCCCTTCCAGGCTGCCAGTTGCAACTCCTGTGGGTCTTCCTGCCTTCTTCCCCTTCCTCCAATTATTTCCTTACGGAACAGTCAGGGAGGTTCTGGGGCTGGAGTGATTGTTCAAGTTAGCAGAGTTGGTTCAACCACCTCCTAATACACCCTGGAGGACATACCTAGCCCGGTAGTTTTGTTACTCTCTATAGAGTATGAAGGTACTTAATACCTTTGAGCCTCTGCTTTGGGTCCTAGTCTTCAATGTCACACACATACATAACATCTGGTTGTTTGGGAATGCCACTAAGCTTCGTTGTGCAAACCCTGAGTTGTCACTTACATTTGTAGCTACTCAGTGTCATAAACACTGACCTAAATGTTATGTGAACAAACATTTAATGAGTAGCTAAAATGGGTTAGTCAATGTAAAAGTGAAATACAAAAGTCTGATGCAGTTCAGACTCTAATGCAAATAATGAATTACACTGTAGCTTTAAAACAGAGGACATTTAAACCTCAAAATGGATAATAGATTGGGGAGTGAAGCAATGAGAAAGAGGAAAGGAGAAAAAGTAAGTTAAAAATGAAGAACTGAAGAGAATCTTAACGATGAGAACAATGCATAGTGACAGGAGGCCTAACCTTTTCTCTGCTCCCAGATCAGAATCATATAGACTTCCATTAATATTTACCCCTTTGAGTCTGAAGGAAGAGGAAAATCTATTTTGTATGTCACCCAGTTGTGCTGCTTCCATCATGAATTTCACTGAAGGATCACATCAGGTGGATGAGGGGACAGCTGTCCTTAATAACTAAAGTATTAGATATATATAATATGGCACACAAGGCAGCACGAGTCTTACAGGTGAGTTACTTCAAAAACCAGGAACTATGGATTCAACGAAAATTTCAAATAAAAGCCAAAGAACTGGAATAATCCCTACAAAATTTTAAACCCAGAAGTTTCTCTTGCTTAAATGGCTTTCACACTCCAATTTAAACTCAGAAACATTATGTTGCTGTCACACTTCTTTGTTCTTCTAAAGTTAAAAAAAAAAAAGATCTGTACACAGCTGACAAAAAATAGGAACCTGTCTGCCAGCAAGCTCTCTCTTCATGCCTCACGTTCTGTAGAGTCGCTGGAGAACACATGGTCTTGCAACGCTAAAAAGCCTCTCTTTACTGGCTTCACACAGCAGTATGTTTCTCCAACGTGTTTGCACGACCTACAATGCATTTCTTGCATAAGCATGAATTCCTTTGGATGTTTCAGTCAAGTCATTGAATATTTTCACATGCTTTGATGGTGTGCATATGAGAATTATCATCCACATTTTGAGACTGCTGTCCCTTGTGCCTTCAGCATTGAATTTAATACTATTTGACTGACATCCTTTTAAATTCCATCCAACAGAATGCCAATAATATCTATCACAGAAGTTTGATATATTTAGTCTTCTCAAATATGGAGTTGATTTAGCAGCTAAGCTGGAAATTTAGGGGGGGTGCGTTTTTGAAAACGAAGTCAGCGTGAAAATTACTGACTTAGAATTGTGCAGAAAGTATCTTGGGTTTTTTTTATTTCCTTATCCAGAAGGATGTGTTGCTCCATAGCAGATAAATTTCCAAATGGCAAGATCATTCTGTTGTTGGAACTCAAAGTAAACAGTGTAAATTAATCCTAATGTGATTTTCTTCATTACAGATGAGACCCATCGGCCACGATGGCTACCATCCCACCTCTGTCGCTGAGTGGCTGGATTCCATCGAACTGGGTGACTACACCAAAGCCTTTCTAATTAATGGCTACACATCGATGGACCTGTTGAAAAAAATCTGGGAGGTTGAACTTATTAATGTAAGTTGGTCCCTTAAAGACACCTTAGCCATTCAACCTTTGGTAAATGAAATTCTTATTGTAGGTGGGTCATTTTTCCTTCCTTTGTAAATGTTTTGACATCCAAGTTTTTACAGTTCTGCCTTCTGTTTTAGATACACATCTGTCTTGGTTGCAGTCAAGCTCCACAGCCACTGTCTTTTCAAGTTTTTTTGGTGTGGGGAACTGAGAGGACTCTAAAAAAACCTTCCAAGCATTTTGGGGTTTTCCGTGAAAGGAAATCTTGTCAGTTTATGATATGGACATGATAACTAATTGGCTCTCATTTTGATTTTTTCTCATCTTCATTGTTAAAGATGAAAGTTATTTTTAGTTGTCTATCTCTATTACATTTCCTTATCTCTATTCCTTAATTGCATATACAAACCCTGTACTTAAAGAGACTGCTTTTGTTCTTATTAAGTAGGCTGCTGTAATATCAAATTTTCATTTTCCATAGCTTATACTAATCTTGTTATCTCTGTTTTATTCGTGCACTTGGCATAGATTTTCTGTAAAAACTGGCCAACATATGTTGCCACGAATTCATGTCCAAAGAAATCAACTAAATGTGCACAAATATTTTTGTTACTGATCCTTTTCTCATTTCATTTTAACTGCTGTTTTATTTCTAATGGCATACAGGAATGGAAGAGATGAAAAGATAATATATAATGATTATGTCTTTGCATTATATTTGGCATTTGTTTTCAAAAATGAGTGAGAAATCATTTAATCTTTTAGACAATTTCTAAAATTTAAGTTCTATATTCTAATAACTAAAAAAGTATTCATAAACTAAAAGATAAAGCAACTAAATTTCTGCTAATTCAAAAGTACTCTGTTCTACTCTTTATGCCACTTTGTCTCCAAAAGTCCAGTCCTAATTAATACATGTCATTTCATTAATTATTTTAAGTGATGGTTATTAGTATTTTTTTCTTTAAAATGTCTATCTTAAAAATAATACCTTCTCTAGAACATCTCATAAAAAATGTCCTTTAGAAATCACTTTATACGGACAAACGCCTGACTCCTCCTTCTAATTTGCCATCATCCACTCTTAGCTTTCTGAGCTTATTCCATAACAAAAGCTGTCACTATTTCAGAAGAAGCTTACTGTCTGACTAAAAGCTCCTGCTTAATTTTGTTCTCAGTCTGGGTGGCAATGGAACTCGCTGAAACTGTATTTCTCTTTGGTCGTGTCAGGCAGATTTCAGTTCTCCACTGAGAATTCAACCCTCTTAGCCCTTTGTTCAAGGGGTACCCGCCATAGATTACACAAGCATGCTTCCAGTCAAGTTGTATTAGCCAATGATATAACTTGACGAATAGCTCTCTGTGACATCTTCTGAATAATACTGCTCCCCACTAAAGAACAACTAGGATAGGTAGCACAGGAGCCACTCAGCTAACTGCAATTAGCAGCAATCCCTCATTGAAAAGAAGGGATTCCAATAGAACTCTATTATAAAATGTTGGAAGCAAGTATCATTAAAGCAAGACTGTGTTTTCTCAAAATCCAAATGCTGGGACTAGCGTTTTGGACCCACACCTTCCAGAGTGCTGTGGGCACCAGCAAGCAGCCTAGAGATCTCTGTTCAGTCGCTGTAGCCGGGTCTCATGACTACAAGGTCCGTGTGCCAGGAGGGTTACTGCCAGGGCTCCAGGGCTGATCCACCAGCACCCACATGGTCAACCAGCCCGGGGTGAGACAGCAGGATAGCCTTTCCCACCCATACGGGCTGTTTAAGGGTTTTCCCTTTAGTCACATTCACTATAACACAATCTGACTTCAGTCTGGAGAGTGGAAGGGCCTGTCACAAGCATTGTATCAGGTTTGGAAACCATAGTCACTCTGTCATAGACTTTGAGACCAAATCCCTCTGACCTGGAGTACAGCATCTGCATCTAACACCAACCTTTTTCCTGGTTTTATTTCATTTTATTGTCCTTAAGATAAACTGGTGAAATATAAAGTTCCTTGTGACATCTTTATGGGCAAGTGCACGCTCTTGATGAAGAGACTTCGCAAGTCATTTTTTTAACTCAGTAGATACAGTTATGGTGGACAAAAGCTGACGTGTACCTTCAGACTTGGAAATCAGAGAACAAAATGTTTGTGTCCATTAGAGCTGCTGTTACAGTAGTTCATTTGATGGTTTAGGGTTGTTGGGTTTTAAAGTGAGAAAAAGGCACAGTATGTGTGTGTCTTCTAGCTTACGAAGCTTTTGATTGATCTCAAACTCAAGACTTTTACTTATCTCAACTAATGAGGGAAGCTATCCAAATATAAGATAGCATCATATATAAGATATGGGCCTGGTAAAGATATATTAGGTGCCCATAATTTGTTGTTTTCTAGGCTAAAGGGAATGTACAGTCACCTTGAGTTAGAGCAAAGCTTATGAGGGAAATTCACATCCTTAATCTTTGTAATGACTGGCTACTTTTAAGGAAACCAAATAGCTTCAATAATTGTTATTCTCTGTGAAGTGAAGAGAAATGTGCACGTGTAGGCTGTCTCTGATGCAGAGGTCTGCTGGTAGAGAGGAAGAGAACGGAGAATGAGGAGGCTGGCTGCTGATCTGTTTACAGAGAACTTCAGCAGCATCAAATAGTATTGATTAAGCCTCCAACTTCGCAGGGATTATGCTTAGTATTAGACAAATAATAATACAGTCTCAGTGAGCACAGTAAGTTTATTCAAAGTATTTTCATGATGAAATGAAAACTATACAAAGCTGCGACTTAAAAAGTACAAATACATTGGAAATCGTAGTCTTTCAGAAGGTCCCCGATGATCTTCTTCTTGGTAGAGAACGTTGTTGCCTTTGAAAAACAAGGTTATTTGCATAACCTAATAAGGGTTTTGGTCACAAAGCTACCCACACGTAGGGGCGAGGGAGAGGAGTAGAAATCTCACATCTTTATATCAGCATTTTCCACAGGCAAATAAAGCATAGAGAAACTTTTAAGACATAAGGTATTGCCAATGTAACAGACCCATATGTGTCTAGACTTAGAGGATGACGTATATGCCAATAACCATTCCCTTTATTCCCTAACCTATGCTTTATATTCAAAATATATTATCAATATCTCTGTTTTGTTTCTGTGTCTGCCTCTATCATTAATAGCATCGGTAACATCATTTTTGCCTTGATGTTTTAGTATTAAAATATGAATATGTTGGTAGAGATTGTCAGGCAAATTGTTCCCTCTCCAGATGCTAGCTAGGTGAAACTAGCTTGAATTATAGTCCTCGACAAAGGCTTGTTAAGAGAATTAAAGACTAGTTAACAGTACATAAGTTCATGGATGTGTTTAAATCAGAAGGTTTGCCAGACTTTACATATAGTGTTACTAAGTTTGTATAACAATTCCTCCTGCTATGGACAGCCACAACAGCCCTGCATGGGGGAAATTTTATACAAAAGGGCTATGTATTTTCTACATGAAATATGTCTGGATAATTATGAAATTATCCATTTTCTAGACAGAAAAAGTGTATTTCAATTATGAAAAACAATATTAATGTATTTAACCACTGTCTACCTACCTACTAAAGGGATTTTGGTAAGACCAAATAAATTTGAACTCTGCCTAATTTACTAATTTGTGAATCTCAATCAAGAACATATCATTAATTTCTTCCCAGTGGATTTACCAAAGAAATCATTCTAGCTCAGGCTTATGAGATCCTACAGTTTTGATAATGCTAAGCATACACATTGAATGAACAAGATAAAATTTAGGCTTCAGTACATGCTTAAATCTCTGCTAATGAGTACAAGAATAGCTTTAAAAATCTAACTGCAGTGATTGGTTGTATTTTAAATACCTTAGGGTAGAAACAAATGAAATAACTCAGGTAGCAATATCCATGTGTCCCATGAAAATCATTTGGACATGTTTTGCAACAATAAATTAATTAGGAGATCATTTGCCTTTTGCCTAATAGCTGCTGAAACTATACTTACATCACTCTTTTGATTAGGACTGTCAAATTTTTTTTCTTTTGCAATGTTGTTGATTTAATTTCTACCTTTCCAGGGGAAATATTGTGATAATCTAATCACTTGGAGATGTACTGAGAAATTTTAAAAGGAAACATTCTAACTTTGTGCTAAATCTGCAATCGTGAGACTTTATTTGCTGTAAATGCTGTAGAAATATGGTCCTATCGGTATCAAATTTAGACTCATTGCTTGCTTTAATGTTTTTATTTCATCAGCATTATAAACTCACAAACCTACGTACCCTACCCTGATTGCTAAAGTGGCAATTAAATTTACTCCCTAAAAGTCTTTCTGCAGTGTGTGTGTGTGTGTGTGTGTGTGTGTGTGTGTGTGTGTGTGTTGGACAAAGGCAAATGATGACTTATACTCCCAACCAAGAAGAATAATCAACAAATCCATAAACTGCAGGGTCCGAAGAAGGGAGAGGACGAATGTTATCATTCCGTCTCCAAAACCAATTATTTTAAATAAAAGGTTATACCTTCTCTGAGGACATTAATAAATGGGAAAAATATTCATGTTTACACACCAGGGACGCTGCATCAGTCAACACCTCAAATGTTAATAACTTTGATCTAAGCCAAAGGCTTTAACTAACTAAATATGAGCATTCAAGTGTACAGCAAACTTCATCAATTATCTTTGGATTTAAGCGTTTCATTTATACCCATGTACAACACAGCTAGCTCTTCACAAACCTTCAGGACAGCGAGACACAATGTCTGAGCTTCCGGTTTCCTCAGGTGTGGGTCAGGTTAAGTTCCTGGGCTCCACCGCCCCCACTCGCTGCATCTAAATTGCCAGCCCCCCCAGTCATTCTCTGGAAGCTTCCCTCACTTGGCCTACGTTTTGGGAAAAAAAGCACCCCTTTTCCTTCCTCATGTGAGATGGACAATCTTTTCCCAAGTAAATCCTCACTTTCCAGTGATTTTTAGCCCTTTATTGAATGGCCTGGAGGTT